ATCACTGTACATAGTGTACATATTGCTGTTCTAAATTGGTGAAGGATAATATAAGTCTAAACTTTTTCTGCTGTGTTTCTTTTGCTCCCATTACACCCGGGGTAACAGGCCTTTGAAATCCTAGGTTGTAATACAGTGTAACAACAGATGTGTCTACCTCTTCTAAATGTCTACGTCCTCTGAATGGCTGAATGGTTAGGTGAGTACAAATAGGAAGCGCATCTGTCTCGCGTTCAGCAGAATGAGGATCGAACCTCCACCATGTCTTGTGCTGAATGACCCACATGGGTTTAGCACTTAACATGAATTAAAAAAAAAAAATATTTAATGGCTGAAGCATCTAATGGTTAACTCACCATTCGGTTTAGTCTGCATGGATAAAGTGGTCAATACCATTAAGAAATTTGTACAACTTGGAATCTTTGGATTTTTTTTTTCTATCTGATTGATCTTACAAAACACAATTTTTTTTCTTAAGAGGATCACAGGGAATTTTTTAAGTCTTGTGTAAATTGTAAAAAAAAATCGGAAAGTATTTACATCGTGGTATTTTTCAAATTTCTTGAACTGACTAGCATTAAGATCCCTCTAGGAAGTTCCCTTGGCGCCGTTGAAGAGGCTCTAGATCCAGGGAACTGGATTTCATCTTCCGTTTAGATGGAGCCTGATCGTCTTCCATCCAACCCCCCCCCCTCCCCATGCCGCCCTATATGACCCTTACGGGTTTAGCTTTCCTCCAGTGACAATTACTAATGTTAAGAATTATTTTTTTCTGTTGTTATGTCTCGGCTATTATATTCACAGGGAAGAGCTAAACCCAAAAGGGGCAATGGAAGCGTTATATTAGTATCCTAGGGACAGAGCACGGATTCGAATCACGTCGCTTCACATGAAATTCTTGTGTGTATGAGAGTGGTGGACCAGCATCACTGGCAGATGTTAGTGGCGCTGGAGAGCCATTATCGGGGAAGGAATTATGTTAATATTACACTCCAGTCACCCCTTCTCAGCTCTGCTCTGTCTACACACACCCATTTGGCCGGAGCTGTGAATCGACCCCTGCAACCACAAATAGGTGAGTACATACACATGTGTGATGACTGAAAACTGGACCAAATGGACTGATAAGAAAAATGGAATTTTACGTAGATGACTGGCACTGTACTTGGCACCTCCAGGTGGTAAGTGCAGTTAGTGCCTGCACTCTAAACGAAGAGTTTAGGTTATTTCATGTTTAGAGTGACATTTAAACTGTCGTATCTGTGCGCCTCTGGCAAGACGGCGAGTGCAAATGATGGTAAAACTGTTTCCTTTTCGGCTCACACTGCCATAGTGGGAGACGGGCAGCGTCTTAAATATAGCACGTAATGTTAGGAAGCAGATTCAAGCCACATGGATTTTAGACAGAGTGGAAAAAATATACCCAGGGGTTAAATACCCCTCACCATCACAAATTAATATTTGTTAAGTATAATTTAAACACAGGATGAGCTGCTAAGATATATTTCGCAGACTTGTGGACACGGACCCGTCATGCAGTGTGCACTGGAGCTCTCACAGACAAATACAGTCATGACAGTATTGTATTTTTAATGGATCTTCTAGTAGGTGAAGTTCTATCTCAGTAATCCAGTCAAATGTACCTGCTGAACTTTCTTACTGTATATTATCACAACTGATACCTCAAAATTATATATATATATATTGCTTAAAATACTAAGTAGCTCTCTAAATATGCTATATATCTAATCTAACGTTGTCTCTCGGTCCACAGCAGGATTCGAACCTGCACATTGTCTATAAAAGTACACAGTACTTTCGCCACTCTGCCAGATCACAGATTTCAATTACCCTAGTTGATCTGGTTGAATGGCCAAAGTAGTGTGTGTGTGTTTTTTTTTTTTTTTTTTTTTTTTTTTTTTTTGGAGGGGGGTTCGATTCCTCCTGTGGACCGAGAGATACTAAAAATTTCGCCCGTTTGCGAAATTAACATTACGCAAACGAGCGAAAAAAAAAAGTATATTCGTATCTATTCACACCATTGAACACACATTACGCAGAGGTAATATATATTTATATAATTATAAAATATGTAACAGATATATGAACATGTATATGCGAGTTAAGTCATATATATAAGACTTGGAGTTAATAAACAAATGTTAATTAACTCAAAGTTACAGTGTTTCAAAATGATAGACCCAATTTCAAAGCAGTATGCTTTGAAATTGGGTCCATAATTTGAAACACCCTGTACATAGTGCTTGTGCTCATGTACACGTTAAAGGTTATACATATGTACATCATAGCAGTATTACACTGTATATGTATCTACCATTTAAACCACTGTATATGTAGGTTTAGTGAATACTGTGGGTTTAGATATAAATCAGAGTGCCTCAGCAATTAAAGTTACGTTATATTGTATTGTAAATCTGTGACAGAGTTCCAGTCATGTTTAAAACGTGAAAATACGTGCCGAACACCTTTTAATCTCGATAACTTTTCGCTCTGTGTAGAGCTTTGAGTGAAACGTCGTTTCAACAAAGTTTATTCTGTTGTTAGGTAAGACACATATGCAACAGTTAGGTATCTTTATTTCGAAACGTTTCGCCTACACAGTAGGCTTCTTCAGTCTAGTACAGAAAAGTTGATAGCAGCAGAAGATACTTGAAGACGATGTAATCAGTCCAAGTCTCTTCTGCTTCTATCAACTTTCCTGTACTCGACTGAAGAAGCCTACTGTGTAGGCGAAACGTTTCGAAATAAAGATACCTAACTGTTGCATATGTGTCTTACCTAACAACCTGTCGGTATTTTATACCATCTGAATGTTCAAAGTTTATTCTGAAATTCGCACATTTCTAACATGTACAACAGATTTTTTTTTTTTTTTTTTTTTTTTGCAAACTTCAGTTGTATAACTTTTAGGCACGTTTCCATTGACAAAAAAAAAAATTTTTACTCTGGGTGCTAAACTCTATGTTAAGTTAATTTTTGGTGAAACGTTCTGTGAATTAAGACATTTGTAACATTTGGGTATCTTTGTAGAAGTTTCGTCATCTGGTGGCTTTATCCATTCAATAAAACCACTGGATGGCGAAACATCTACAAAGTAAAGATACCCAGACGTTTTACACGTGTCTACTCGGTGTTTTGCTCACATCTTTCACATATGACACTGGATGTTCAGATTTCTCAAGCTAATGTTCACAGTTTTCATAAACCTTTTTTGAAAATTAGTCCAGAAGAAATTATAGTGTGTTGTGAAGAAGATAAGATAAGATTTCGTTCGGATTTTTAACCCCGGAGGGTTAGCCACCCAGGATAACCCAAGAAAGTCAGTGCGTCATCGAGGACTGTCTAACTTATTTCCATTGTGGTCCTTAATCTTGTCCCCCAGGATGCGACCCACACCAGTCGACTAACACCCAGGTACCTATTTGCTGCTAGGTGAACAGGACAACAGGTGTAAGGAAACGTGTCGAAATGTTTCCACCCGCCGGGAATCGAACCCGGGCCCTCCGTGTGTGAAGCGGGAGCTTTAGCCACCAGGCCACCCAGAAAGCGGTGGAGTACGAGAGAAAATCCTCAGTACGTAGGGTATGAAAGGTGAAAAATCCTACGTGGTCAAGCACGTAGAAAAAACGGCTATATAAATATTTTCTGCACTATATATCTATACAATATAACATTTTTTTTTAACCTATACCCTGGAGTAACTAGCACACAAACGCATTGTATCACACCTCGAAGAATCGCAGAAATTGAAGTATGTGTTGTGGATAAGCGAAAGCGCCACAACAAATTCATTCGGACTTTGATGGCAAAGTTTTAAGCTCACACCTAAGGCACTCTTGGAGTCAGACTTGGTAAATCTACAAAGAAACTATAAATTCTGGTGGTGCGTCACACTTCAAACGTGATAACCTGTGACGTCTCGTCCCGGAGTGAGTTTCTACCTAAAGATTCACTATATGTGTGCTGTGAAAATAGATAACGTAAAGTTTACCATTCATTACTCGACATTGAATTTACGTTAGTTACTCCTAAAATTATCGTGTATAAGAGAAAACTACGTTTTGTACAAGTATTCGAAGAAAATGGTATTATCTTCACTACTGACTGACCAAAATTGTGTGGAACGCCAGTTGTCCATCTCATATTGTTGGGGGAAAGTCAGATTTGAAAGATTATATCACTTTCGAGTTTTCACAAGTCAAAATCATTATGAATTTAATGTGAAATAATTCTATATTAACTTCAAACCTTGAGGAAGCGTTCTTGATGTTGATGTAAGCTCCAAAATTTAGGGATGGATCTGTGTCCATTCCAGAGGAGTTATAAGTCTGAATAGCACTATCCATCATCCACCCCCCTCCAGCGCTGTATAATCCTCCGGTTTAGCGTTCCCCTTGATTTATAATATAATAATAATAATAATAAACTTCAAATAATTTTGAGACATCTATGATGGGAATTATTCTTAAGCTTCCAAAATATAATGAGGGTCTTGATCATAAAGGAAGTTTTATTTTAAAAGTGAGATAAAGCTTAGAAATAACCCCAAGTGTGGTGGAAAAAAAAATGATTACTAAAACTCCCATGTTGGCTCTGATTATCAGTAAACAGAAATCATGTCTGCAACATGTTCAACCTAATACTGAAGATAGCCAATTATTTTAACCCTGATTTCATAGCACAGCAATTACATTAGTCATGCATTGTAATATGGCAAATAATAATCTATTCATTCATAGAGATAAACTGATCATTCTTAAAATACTGATCACATCGCTTGTTTTTTTCCAGTGATACAAGCTGTTACCTAAACACCTCGAGTGGGTCATCTCAATATATTGTGGAAAAAGTCACAAGTAGCCCCATGATTTTGAGAAGAAACTTCTAGTATCATTCTAACTTAGACCCAAATCAACCTCTCAAAATTATGGGTTAGCCGTGAACTGGTTCTCCCAGGTTATTGTGGTTCGGTCCAATTGAGTCTCTTGTTGATATTACGATGAAACAGTTATCCAGTTGTCACCTCAGCTGTTTATTGGGACTATTAAAGTAAAAGCATTTAAGAAGTGAAGACCTTGTCTTGGAGGCACTTGTCTTCTGCTAGTAGTGTAAGCATCCTTTATACCGTCGAAGCAGGAGCATCGCGCATCTTGATCACCCAAGGAGGGCTCATCTCAGCTCCGCCTCTTGTTTACTATTGCCTCCCTTTACACATTTTGCCAAATACGGCCTTCAGCTTCATCCGTACCTGTTAAAGGAAGATTTATTCAGGATGACAAATTAAAACTGTCTTTAATAAATAGTTTAGATAACTGACAAGGCGCCAACTACTGGCTCCTTGAGTTCTCATCTTCCATCCCCCTCAAGGAAGGTTCCTTGATGTTGGTGAGGGGCTCTTGATTTAGGGAATTGGATCTGTGCTCCAGTTCCCCGAATTAAGCCTGAATGCCTTCCACATCCCCCCCCCAGGCGCTGTATAATCCTCCGGGTTTAGCGCTTCCCCCTTGATTATAATAATAATAATAATAACCATCTTCCATCTTTGCATGGGACTAAAGAAGCTACTGGTTGGCGAAACATTTCCAGAAAAAATATACCCAAATGTCGCACAAGTACCTTTTATTGAAACTAATTAAATGTAATGCAAGTGTGATGAACAGATGAAAAATAAATACCCTAGAAGTAGAATTTTGTACCACGGTTCAAAGGGAAATTAAATGCTTTAGACATTTATCAATGCCTTTTATTCTAACACCTGCAGCAAAGAGGAAATACATTCATTATTATTATCATCAAAAAGAAGTGCTAAGCCATACATTCATTATTGCTCATGCAATCGCTGTCTTGACATCACAGTTCAGATGGCCCTCTGAACTCCAGCATTCACCCCTTCAGAGTGCAGGCACTCTACCTCCATAAACACTTTCTCTCATTACATCATGAGCTCATTTAATGTAACCCATTTCCATGGAACCATAGCTGGATTGTCAATAAAAGTATTAAAAGGGGAAAAAAAAGGCTTATATAACCAGATTTTCAGACCGATGGCCTGAAAATCTGGTTATAACATCTACTCGACTGGCTGAAATTTTATTTAACAGGGGAAAAAATATCAGCTGATATTGAGGTACCTGTTGGTTGGAGCAGTGGAAGAAGAGAATAACGACACCAGAGATGCTGTTAAGTAAGGAGAAGTACCTGTTGATTGTTGGAGCAGTGGAAGAAGAGAATAACAACGCCAGAGATGCTGTTGAGTAAGGAGAAGATGCTGTATAGAGCCAGGTTCTGCTCATATTCAGAGAGCATCCCCAGGAGCATGTGGGAGAACACCAGCGGCATGATGACCAGGTTCGTGCGCTGAGAGAACTTAGCGCTCACCAGCTGACCTTTGTCCATACCTGATCCAGAGGAGAGACGTGTGTTAGACATTTGCAGAGTTTGTTCTGTAGTCGCCTAGTTGTGGTTGCAGGGGTAGATTCACAGCTCCTGGCCCCGCCTCTTCACTGGCCGCTAATAGGTCACACTTCCTGCTCCATGAGCTTCATCATACTTCTTCTTAAAGGTATGTGTAGATCCTGCCTCCACTACATCAGTTTCCAGACTATTCCACTTCCTGGCTTAAGAAATACTTCCTAACATCCCTGTGATTCATCTGTGTCTTCAACTTCTAATTGTGTCCCACCTCTGGAACATCCTGTCTTTGTCCACCTTGTCAACTCCTCTCAGTATTTTGTATGTCGTTATCATGTCCCCCTATCTCTCCTGTCTTCCAGAGTTGTCAGGTAAATTTCCCTTAACCTCTCGTCGTAGTGTGTGTGTATGTACACTCACACAAGTTTTCCCAGCTCTTGGCCCCGCCTCTCAGCAGGCCGTTACTACGCCCACCCACTCCCGGTTCCAAGAGACTTATCGTACTTCTTAAAGCTATGTATGGATTCTGCCTCCACTACACTCCACATTGTTCTACTTCCTGACAACTCTAAGGCTGAAGAAATACTTCCTGTCACTCGTCTGAGTTTGCAACTTCCAGTTGTGTTCCCATGTTCCTGGAACATTTTGACCCTGTCCACCTTGTCAAATCCTCTCGGTATTTTATACGTCGTTATCATGTCCTCCCCTATCACTCCTGTGTCATCAGGTTGACTTCCCTTAACCTCTCCTCATCCACACCAATCAACCCCATTCTCAACCACAGCTCACATTTACATTACCTTTCAGTGGCATGTATTCTGCAGATCCTGCTGCCTCAGTGAGCGTGAAGGTCATCACAACCAGAGTAACAATAGGCACCATCTCCCCATACATAAGAGGAGTATCCAGCATCAACCAGCATCTGAGGAAGCCAGAAGCAGGTTACGAACAAGTCACATGAACGAGCAAACTATGGGCGTATTTCCTTACACCTGCTGTTCCTGTTCACTTAGCAGTCAATAGGCCCGTGGGTGTGGGTCGCTTTTTTACGGTACAAGATTTAAAGATACCAGTGGAAGTAAGAGACATTCCCCGATGACCTTATTGGGTTATCCTGGGTGGTTAGCCCTCCCTACCCAGAGTTAAAAATCTCAACAAAAATCTTATTTTAAGAGATATGGTCAACTCACTCGTACACTCCGCCGTAATTTGAAAACTGGAAACACATGCAGAAGAGGACGATAATGGCTGCCACACCCCAGCCAACCAGGACGTTCTGAGCCCGGCTGAACATCCCTTCCCTCTTGATGACGAAGGCCACGTAGGCGTACATGTGTAGCGATTCCAAGAACATGAACATGAAGCAAGCAGTGAAGAAGAAGTGCAATAATATCGACACCACCGTGCAGATAATCTGAAAGAAAGAAATATTTTTCTCCCATCTGTATATTACCTGCCATGGCAGACGAAGCAGCAGATGCTGTTACATCTGTAATTTCAGTATCTAACATTACGAAGTCTGACATCGCAATGTCTGTGTTGTTGATGGTAACACTTTAAAAAAAAAAAAAGTTGCCTCTATTAGTAATGCGTCTTTCTCCCACTTGCCGATTTCTGCCATAGTCTACCCTCGTTGTTGATGATAGGAACGCAACAACTGGGTGATGGGTACGCAATAACTGGGTGACGGGTACACAATAATTGGGTGATGGGAACGGCTGACACGAAGACTTCTGTTTTGTCGAAGTTCTGTTCCGTGCAGAGTTTTCTCGTGTCATGACGAACAAGCACTACACAGAGTGAAGAATTTCTCCAATAACTTGTCTGTCTGCAGGTTGTGTACACGTCTTCACATTATACTGAATTAAAAAATAAATACAAATTACAAAATCAGAAACGAAACAACCCGAACAAACTAACTCAAAATTGCAGATAAAACTGATTTATTTTCCTTTCATTCTGGATCAATAAGCAAAGTTACATGACCCTTGTGGGATTAGCTCTTAGGACTGATCGAAACATAGCCTAATTTTATCAAAATTTTGGCAGCTGTCATTTCCAGCCTGTGAAGCCTTGCTGGAATACCGACGGATTTCACCACGGCTGAGTTTCGTGCCCACAATGTAACAGTGTACCAACACACTTATGTCTAAGACAGTGGGGTACTCTTGACCCACTTATATCATAGTGAGCGCTAAATACGTAGGAATTATACAGCGCCTATGAAAGGGGGGGATGCAAGGTACTCATGGTTGGTTCAGGGAACTGGAGCATTGATGCGATTCCCTAGATCAAGAGCCCCTCACCAGCGTCAAGGAACCCTCCTTTGAGGGGGACTTCCAAGCCAAGAAACTGGACTTCTCCCATACCATTGCTTGAACCTGATTACCTCTCACTCCCTTAATGCGTTGGATGACTTATGGGTTTAGCTCTCCTCTCATGACTAATATAGTAACAAATCTTATTTAATAAAAATAAACTGTCACATTTATACCAGAGATTCTTTACCTTTCCCCTGAAATGAGAATCTCGTCCTGTCGTGCGAGGATTCGTGGATACTGAACCAGAGGCCTTGATAGTGCTGGTCCATCACTATACCAGCTTACCACTGCATGTACGTAAGAGATCTTCTGAAAACTGTGGTAAAGACGGTCTAGTAGTGTGTCAGCTGAGAGGCAGTCAGTTCAGTCAGTAATATTTCCTACTGAAAATTCACCTCCCTATTATCATTATTACGAGAAGGATAGGATGGTTTAAGGGTTTCTCTTCGATCCAACGAACTTGAGCCACCTTCAGAAAAAAATTATATATATACCTATATCTCTACGTCCATATCTCACTCATTCCAAAGTTCAACAATAGACCCACCGGCTTTTGAGTAATAGAAGAGGGGGACATAAGGATGCAGTGGGCGAGAAGAAGGGCGATTTCCATGTTCATCTGGATGACGCGATCAGGCGTGAATATCCTGAAGACGAAGAAGATGCAGAGGCAAATACTGAGGCAGATGATGATGACGGTAGAGGCTGACTTCGAGATGACCGTAGCTACGACCTTCTGAGCAGGAGGCATCGTAGGTATGGGACGTGGAGTAGGCGTACTGGGCGGAGGACCTGCATCACAAGATAGTTATCCAAGAGTGTATAACTGATTTTATCCTGAACAAGGTTACAATACCTCCCCCAAGTGGAGTGTATGTAAACAGATCACTTTTTAATTCACACCTTACTGAATGAAACTGCCATAAACCTTTATGTTGTAAACAGATCTTAAAGTTAGTAAGCTACCATTTACTGATACAAAGCTAAGGAAGATTTCCTTGCACATGTTGAAGCTTTTCATCAACTCGGGTTTTTTTTTCTTCTACAAACTGTTGAGAATGAAAAGGCAAACTTACTGGAAAGATGGGGGAATATCAAGAACACAGGTCTCATCACACAGGTAAGGTGAATTTGAGAAGATAAACATCACGGGAAAGCTTACGGACGCAAGAGGTTTTAGTTGGGCTCATCTTGTATCCCATTGTACACACGCAGGTGGCGATGGGGTCCGTGTTATTGGAGTCATCTCTACACACTCCGTAGTCCGGGCACTTCGTAGACAAGCACGGACCTGTAGAAATATTACTTCTGTTAATACTACGGGTTTAATGCTTTGTAATTATGTTCACGGGGGAGCGCTAAAGCGTAGGGGTCGCATAGCTGCTGGTAGTGAAGTCAAAAGGCATTCAGGTTCGATGCAAGAAAGAGGGAGAGCAATTTCTTGGATCAAGAGCCCCTCATCGGTTTCAAGGAACCAACCCTTTCCCTTCCATGAGGGGACTACACCCGTAGAAGCCAAACAAGTACTGATTACCTAATCAGGTTTGATCAGAGGAAAGGGATGAGAAAGCAGCTGTGTTTTCTATGATCAAGACTCATTAACCAGTATCAGAAACCCACTGAATGTTATATAGTGAAAAAATAGTGACTTACGTGTGAGCTGGTGTGTGAACTGGTATATGTGTGAGCTGGTGTGTGAACTGGTATATGTGTGAGCTGGTGTGTGAACTGGTATATGTGTGAACTGGTATATGTGTGAGCTGGTGTGTGAACTGGTATATGTGTGAGCTGGTGTGTGAACTGGTATATGTGTGAACTGGTATATGTGTGAACTGGTATATGTGTGAACTGGTGTGTAGACTAGTATATGTGTGAGCTGGTGTGTAGACTAGTATATGTGTGAGCTGGTGTGTAGAGACTGGTTATGTTGTGGAGCTGGTGTGTAGACTGGTATATGTGTGAGCTGGTGTGTAGACTGGTATATGTGTGAGCTGGTGTGTAGACTGGTATATGTGTGAGCTGGTGTGTAGACTGGTATATGTGTGAGCTGGTGTGTAGACTGGTATATGTGTGAGCTGGTGTGTAGACTGGTATATGTGTGAGCTGGTGTGTAGACTGGTATATGTGTGAGCTGGTGTGTAGACTAGTATATGTGTGAGCTGGTGTGTAGACTGGTATATGTGTGAGCTGGTGTGTAGACTGGTATATGTGTGAGCTGGTGTGTAGACTGGTATATGTGTGAGCTGGTGTGTAGACTGGTATATGTGTGAGCTGGTGTGTAGACTAGTATATGTGTGAGCTGGTGTGTAGACTAGTATATGTGTGAGCTGGTGTGTAGACTAGTATATGTGTGAGCTGGTGTGTAGACTAGTATATGTGTGAGCTGGTGTGTAGACTAGTATATGTGTGAGCTGGTGTGTAGACTAGTATATGTGTGAGCTGGTGTGTAGACTAGTATATGTGTGAGCTGGTGTGTAGACTAGTATATGTGTGAGCTGGTGTGTAGACTAGTATATGTGTAGGCTTGTGAGTGACTAGTTGTTACAGCAGCAGGTAAACAATTTTCGTCGAGTCTCCTTATTACAGTTAATCAAGATTCATTGGCAATACAAAATCTATGTTACTGATCTAGCCAGAGAGTGCGGGAATCTGTGTAAACAAAACAAGACTCATCTGACGTATTGTAAATAACCCATATTAATGTATATCAACTTTAGTGGCCAAGACTAGTGTTTCAGATCTGGACACTGGGGGACACTACTGAAGAGATATTTACAAGTAACTTTAATTCTTTCTTTTTGAGATTCGACCCTATTTTATAAATATTTCCACCATGTAAAAATTCCTCCCTACCATTGTTCATTGGATCCCCCTGCCCCATGAATGGGGATTTACCCTAATCTTGAAACCAGGTCAGGAAGGCTTGAGGCTATGATAGACCACTAACACGCAGAGGTCTACGACAGGTACGTAAACAAGGCTTAAAAACGTCCTACGTAGCCCGCAACAACGGTAACAAAAGGATTTTTTTATTTAGTCACTGAAACATCAACCTGATCACTGACTTTAGTTTTGGATTCGGTCAGTTACACAATCAGCTTCCGCGGTGCCCAACTTAATGTCTATTTAATCTATATCATCTGATCTCTACTAAAAACCTCCATGACAGCCTGTTGGTTCAACCTTGACACCAAGTCAATGTGTGGTAAACAACTTTTCCCTTATACGTGGTCTTTGTGGCTGGTCGGCGACGTTGCTTGGTTGCGTGGTCTCTGTGGTGTCCATGGCTACTTGGCGATGATCTATAAGGCTCCCAGCAAACTTACTAAGAAATCTGCTTTCCATGGCTCCCTCGGACTTACCGGAAGAGTTGGTCTCTTTGGTTCTTCAGCAGACTTAGGCAGCTGGTCTGTATGGAACCCAGCAGACGTACCTGGACAACTTCCCTCTATTACTCCCAGCAGACTTACTAGGACAGGTAGTCTTGTTCCAGGTGTTGCAGGCTAACTTCTTCTCCTTGTACTGTATACCGGTGCAAGTCTCGTTGCCGCATATGGCGTAGCTGGTCTGGTTCCCTCGTCCACACACCTTAGAACAGTTGCTCCAGGGACTCCACTCGTTGGCTGCCAACACAAGGAAAGAATTTTAAAACAGTTACCCCATCAATTTACATGTTAGCTGCCAACATAAATTAAGAATTTTAGAACAGTTACCCCAATCAATATTCTTGTTAACTGTCAATACAAAATTATTAGAAGAGTTACCCCACTCTATATACATATTGGTTTATAAGACGAGATGGAATTATGATCCAAGACATTGGACTGACCCACCCCTCCGCCATCCTTCTCACTGCCAAGGAGTACCATAACCCTTACGTATATAGCGCTTTTCCATTAAAATGTTCATTTCATTCATACGGAAGCGCCAAACCCTTAGGGATCATACAGCTCCTGGCAAACGGGAAGTAATCATGTCTGAACTGAGAAAGAGGGCAACTTCAATTCCTAGGATCAAGAGCCCTTCATGAGCATCAATGGATCCTCTCATCAGACTTACTGGTGTATATCAATAAAGTATATTAGAAAACAAGTCAGATTCTCAATTATGCTTTACGAACAGTGAATATATAAAAATTGAATAAACAGGATTGGACGAAGACTCGAACTTTGGTTCACGTGCATAACAGACCTAGAGCTGTAGCCTCTCAGCTACACAGTATCACTTGTGACAAAGTTGTGTTAGTGGTACTACTGTGACGTTCACTGTATCCCATGGTACACAGTTTGTCGGCTTAAACTGTTTAATTATATATAATATATATAGGGGTAAAGAAAAATCTCAGCCAGCGGGATTCGAACCCACGACTGTAGCTTAGCTACCAACCTGACGCCTTAAACCACCCAGCTAAATATGATCATTTTTATATATTCTGTTGCAATATAATCCCTCAAGGGAGGTTCCTTGACTCTGGTGAGGGGCTCTTGATCTAGGGAATTGGATCTGTGCTCCAGTTTCCTGAATTAAGCCTGAATACCTTACTCCCCACATGGGCTGTATAATCCTACTGGTTTAGCGCTCCCCCATGATTATAAGGTATCGATATAAGAGAGAGAGAGAGAGAGAGACACTTACCCCAGCATGTCTGCACATTACATGCTGCTATCTTGAAGTCCAAGCCGTTCGTAGCGACCTGCCCTTCGTCCGTGACGCACAGGTCTCCCCCTCCTTCCGGTGCCGGGTTGGTGCACGACCTCACTATCGTAGTGAACCCACCATCACAGGTCTTGGTGCACGGAGTGCCGATCACCGACCAGTCGCTCCAGTTGCCGTTCACCACTGATCACGGAAAACATTGTACTATTTTCTAAACCAATGCTCTTACATCCTACGTCAGTTCCCCTCAAAGCTCACTCATATTCAAGGCTCACTTACATTCTCCACGATGTCAACCACAACAACCACACCTGCAACTCTGAGACGTCCCGCCTGTACAACAGGTTTTCGCCGAAGAGATGTTTCGCCTGATCCACGGGCAAAACGTACAATAATTTCTTTCTTAATCTTGTTGGAGACCCTGGCGATAATACTTCAAGGTTCAACATTATCTAAGATTACATCCGTCTCTCGTTCCTCCCACCCAGGATGCTACCCACAACCAACTACATCTTATTCTAAAGCCCAGATTTATCTAATGTATATTAGTATCCCGCAAGATCAGATTTCAAATGACTGAAATACCCTTAGATACCTATTTATTACGAGGGGAAGAGGAATAGAACGTGTTAGAAGACTTGCCCTTACCACCCGTCCCGCCTGGGAATCGAACCCAGAGTCTTTTGGTTGTGAATCGACCTCCTTAACCACTTTCGTTGCTAAACTTTTAACCTTACCTAGACTAGAATCAGAAGTCAAACTGCCCCTTTGATGCTGCCACTCCTGTATCACAAGTATCTCACATGTATCATGCGTGTAATACATCATACAAGCATGCCAAGAGTATCGCTCTTGTATCACACAGGTATCGCTTAAAAATCATCCGTACTTGTATTATTCGTGTATTACACGTGTTCCCTAACTAGAGTAGATCACACTTGGATGACATCATAGCTCCGAGATCTTACAGTACCTATCTTACAACAGTATTACACCTAGTATAACACCAGGTAGGTACAACATTAGGTAGTCTAAGGCAAAGTGAAAACGTGTGTGTGTGTGTGTGTGTGTGTGTGTGTGTGTGTGTGTGTGTGTGTGTGTGTACAAGCCAAATAAACCAGGTTGTGACGGATCTGTGGGTTAGCAAGCCTCCAGCTGGAGCAGCATCCTGGTTGACCTGGCAAGTACCAGAAGAGAGACTGGCCCATGACCGGGTTCCGGGACTAGAAAAACTCCCGCAGTTCACCGGGGTAAAGAATTAGTAGTACCTGCTTGACCTGCGGCGTGAGGGACGAGGAGAAGCAAGACAGCAAGCGTCAACACGCCCAGCATCACCGTGCCGCATGCGGGGGCCATCCTCAGCGGCTGCAAAAATAAACATATGTAGAAATTGATGAAATTGATGATTGAGAGACAAAGAAATTGATGAAATTGATGATTGTAAAAATTGATGATTGAGAGACGAAGGGAACTCAGTGAAGGACAGAATAAGAGGCCTTCCACCTCTTTCCATGAGGAAATGAAGAGGTGGAGGAGCTAAACCCTCATGGACGAGAAAGGAAAAAAATATTAAACACTTCTCTTGAAAAGGCAGGACGTGAATTCCTTTTTCAAGTAAAAACAAAGAAAACAACCTTTTTAAAACAGCATAAATCACCTAAATACAATTATCGTATTTCCCGGGAAACGCTAAGCCAGTATGGGCAATGCGGCACTTGAGGAATTGGCAGACAAGTATGTTTGATCAAACGAAAAAATTATTCACACAAGAATATGCACAAATAATTTCACACGAGGTTAAATTAATCAATGTAAAGTGAGGGTAAAAAATAAGAAAATGGTAAAATAGGGAATTAAAATTTCACCGAGGCTCCGGAAGGTATCTCAGTAGTCACACAACTCCTTCATAAATTTTGTAGATCTGAATCTTTGCATAGGTAGAACAGTTACAGTACTTATGCTAATAGAAAAAATGTGGGTTAAGGTATTTGACTGCGTTGACGTTTCGCCCACTAGGCATTTTATTCACCTGAATTGATAAAATCCCTTGTGCGCGAAACGTGTCCACAATAAAACGCTATAACCGGCAGTGTGTCTTATTTACATAGTGTGGGTGTGCTCCACCAGTACACCTACACAGCCACAGCACTAACATCTGCACAGAGAGGAGCAGGATCCCCTGAAAGCAGGTGGTGACAGGTGAGACTTGAATGCCTAATTCTCATTCCACAGAAAGTAAGCCTGGTAATGAGCCATGTGGATTATTATAATCCAAACTAAGTTCTAGACCTACAAGGGTCATACACAGCCGCTGATCCTTGTGGAAAGAGGCTTTCCTATCACCAACGTCATGCCACACACACTGTACACATTGCCTGCTCGTCTACTGGGCCCACCAAGTCACAGACGGACATCTGCTATAAAAAAATAAACGAATCTAAAGAGAATTATTTTAATTTTAAGGCAAAGAAAATTTCCCTACTAAAAATTGAACACTAATTCAACGGAATAAAGATTGGTGTACCAATGTAGTCGCCTACGAGAGGAGCGGGGGTTTGATTCACCTTATTCACCTTGTGTGTCTACTTTTGTTTACTAACAAAAGCTGAAGCTATGGTCCAAGTGTCCCTTATTTATTTAAATTTTATTTTCAAGGATAAAACACCCAGGTACTTATTAACTGCTAAATAAAGAGGAGCGAATATAATCAGTACTTCCCCATACGTCTTCTGTCCTCGAACTGAACCCAGGCGCGCTCTGTTGTGCGCTCTCAGAAGATTCGTGGGCAGTCGTAGTGACTGTGCGAGTGATTTTGGACGTGGTAGTCTGATGTCCCTTAAGTGGGATTTTTCGAAACCAGCCTGGTTGTTAAAAACCAGCCTGGTCGTCAAAACCCAGCCTGGTCGTCAAAAACCAGCCTGGTCGTCAAAAACCAGCCTGGTCGTCAAAAACCAGCCTGGTCGTCAAAAACCTAGTCTGTTGCTCATACATGATATTCACGGGGCAACACTAGGCCAGTATGAAAGACCTCCTGGGAAATGGGAGGTAATCAGGTTTGTTCTGAGGAACGGGAGGTCATCTCCATTTCACTGGATCAAGACACCTTACATAACATCAGTGCCAACCCCCTCCCCCCCCCCTTCCCATAAAGTATGGATGGAACAGTTTGCTAAATTAAAAGTAAATTTCAAAACTAATTGAAACTAATCAAAATCTAATCGATACAATCAAAATCTAATCGATATAATCAAAATCTAATCGATACAATCAAAATCTAATCGATACAATCAAAATCTAATCGATACAATAAAAATTAGCTCATTTCTCACGGACTGGGGGGGAGGGGGATTTTGAAAAATAAATCCTTACTGGAAATCCTTTAGACAAGTGAAAGAAAGATTAGTGAATCTGACGTCTGAGTACGTCAGTGTTGCCAGAGTGACCACGACAACACCACCAAGTGTTGCCACAACATAACAGAGTGAAACCCTGGTGCTTGAAACATCTAGGGTGGCTAGGGTATCCCCTCGGGGGAGGGGGGGAGTGAGGGCATTCCTCCACCACTTTTGTTTGAGACATGTTGTCAACATAACCTCTCAAGCGTTTTCTTGTAAGCTCAGGGCTGTGATTTTTCTGGTTGGTTAATGGGAGCAATAACAACCTCATACGGTCCAAGAACTTTTCACAACCAGGGTTGCTTTTACTCCTAAAATATGGATAAAAGTATATTATCATATATACACATATCTGTACTTCTCTATGTATATATTCCGTCATTTTTTAATGAATACATATTTACTGAATGTCGTACTGGTTAGGTTAGGTCAGGTTTGTCAGGTAACCTGACCTGACCGACTTAAGCCGGTGGGAGAATTGGATCTGCCTCGCATGGGCCAGTAGGCCTGCTGAAGTGTTCCTTCTTTCTTATGTTCTTATGAAACAGGACAAGTGTTTCCTGACGCGGATCTTAGATTATGACCAGCCGTTGGAGCTTTTGGTCATGTGACCGAGGCCTTCCTCTGGCCCACCGGTCCACCACTTTAAAATTTATGGTCAGCTATAACCATTTAGTTTTAGGTCTTACTGGGCTGTTTGGCTGCTTAGCTAATTAGCTTTACAATATATGAACCACACGTGAGTAATTAAGGCTGGACGTGACCTGTACACGACCGGTTTCATCAGCTACACGTCCCGTGTGTTTGCAACCATAACTTTCCATAACTTAGCAACCCAAACTTGATAAAAATTATTATATGATTTTAGCTGTCTTAGCTTAGACCAAATTAAATTAGTTTTAGTGAGAATTAAAACTGATTAATTTCTTTCTGCTCGCCATATTTTCACAGAGTTGTAATGACGAATTTACACCCTCTGATAGACTCAATGGCCATTGTTCTCTAAGTCAAAATCGCAAGATTTTGGATATAAACAAGACAAATACTCTGAGGGGTATTAGTATCTAAGCCTCCTTATTGATATTATCTGGGTAAATTATAACCTTAGTGACCCACGTTTAGTAAATTCACCAGCGTATTAAAAGGCTTGACACCTAACGAGCCATTTAAAGGGCAGGCTAGGAAGAACACACACACACACACACACTAGAGACGTAAGGAAAAATGATATACAAACAATAACAGTAAAGAGAGAGCAACAAATAGCCAAAATTTAAATAATCACAGTCACAGAAAGAGCCAGCGAGATAAAATAATAGAAGAGGAAGAAAACTTGAACAGTTCAGGTAGTCAACACTGCAGCGAGGCGGCTCCTCGACTCTCACCAACCAATGTTTACCTACATGCGTAGAAGCTAAGTGAATCAAACCACAGAACGGGTGGGACTCGAACCAGTGGCAAATCACCCTGTCTCTGATTTGTTTACACTCGAGTCAATATGATAAACGATAATACTCAGTGTCTGTAGTGTGCTGACAAACCGTGGAAATTAGCACCTTACGCCACTCCTAATTACATTAGGACTTCATCATTACGACTGATTATATCACTCGTGGCGAAACGCTGACTTAAATAAACATCCTTAATTGTACCCAAGTGTCCTTTTTCTCTGAAATTAACTAACATGGACTAAAATTCTTCATAAGAAGGCAAATAAAGATGACTAACCTAACAGCTGAGAACGGAAAAAATAAATTAAAAAAGGAACCTGATTCAGTGGGTCGTGGAAAAATAAATCTTCAGGATAATATACTAATTTTGAAACACACACACACACACACAAAATGGCTTGCTTCTAGGGAGGTTCCTTGATGCTGGTGAGGGGCTCTTGATTTAGGGAATTTGATCTGTGCTCCAGTTCCCTGAATTAAGCCTGAATAACTTCCATCCAATCTTTTTCACAGGCGCTCTATAATCCCTACGGGTTTAACGCTCCCCCATGATAATTCGACTCATGAAATCGTAATGGCACGACTGCAAACAAAGCCAGCTGGCCCAGTGGCTTACGCGCTGGCTTGGAGCTTTTACGACTCCTGCCGCGAGTTCAATCCCCACCCGTACCGTGGTTTAATAATTCATGATTCCACGTTCCGTCGGACCCTCCCTCAGCTTTGAATTCCAGTCAGTCCTTCAGCCTTGTCAGCGCCTCTGAGTATCTTATATCGTGTGTGTACCCACCTATTTGTGGTAGCAGGGGTAGAGTCACAGCTCCTGGCCCCGTGTGTGCCTGGGCAGTTGTGAAAAGCAAAACTTAGATATCAAATGCAGCCCTTTTAACGAGTGAACAGCGAGAACTAGACACTGAATAAGGAGGAGAGTTGCACGAGATGTGATCATGTGTGGCAGACACTATAAAAACAACGAGATCGAAGAGTATAAACGTCATGAAGAATGGAATATACAAGTGATGGGATCGTATAAGCACTGCAGAGCGCGTTAATCAGACGCTTTATCTACGCTGGTAGTTCAATATTTTTCGCTTCATTCTTTCCCTTGAGTAACACTAATTCCATTTGGTCTTCCTTTCATAAATATACACTATGCCTATGACAATATCTAATTGTGTGTGTATATATGTATATATATGTCGTGCCGAATATGTAAAACTGGTCAATTAGTAAGAACTCATTTAAAATTAAGTCCTTTCCAAAATTTTCTCTTATACGTTTAAAGATATATTTTTTTCATTAATGTTAATTTAAAAAAAATTGTACCAAAAGAATCTTAGAAAACTTACCTAACCTTATTATAACAAGAACAATTTACTTTAGCCTAACCCAACTAAATATATTTTAGATCTGGTTACAATAATTTAATACTAAAACACAGTGAAATATTTTTTTTTCGTTAGGTTCAGAATGATTTTGGAGAAATTATTGCATAAACAAATTTTCACTTGTCCTATATGGCAAGATGAGCGTTGCTATTTAAGCCAAAATCGCAAGTTTTACCTATTCGGCACGACTATATATATATTAATAATATATATATATATATATATATATATATATATAATATATATATATATATATTATATATATATATATATATAATATATATATATAATATAAAATCTGAATGAGCAGCAATGACAGATATAAATAGGAAACTATAATAAAAGTGTGGATATATATCACTCGTGTAACAGTGTCTAGTTGAAACAGATTAGTCACCAACTTTTTTTATAACATTGTGCTAGAGTCAGCCACAATGCAATTTTTAGTATCAGCATTCTCATGTTTTCCTGATAGTCCAGAGCTGACAGATCATTATTTAAAAAAATCCTCCAAGGCAATGTCCTGACACGAGTCTTGATCTTTTGTCGACCCAAAATAGAAATAATTCGGCTTGATAATTGGTTATACGAGGGACATACGTGTACGGGACACGCCAGGTCATCAGTTCAGCTTATCGCTAGTCACACAAGCGTTACCTGGACTCGTAAAATCTGAGCTTATCCGTTAAAAGCGGCTGGCCTTTTAGGTGAACATAAATATATTAAAATGACATATATGGAATTTCTCTCCTGATAAGTCTGAATAATTAAATTTATTATTTTTAAAATTTCCCTGAATACTTGAATATTTTTATCTTATTATAACAAGCCGTGGCCCCTCCCAATTATGGCCAGCTGTGGCCTCTTCCAATTATAGCCAGCCATGGCCTCATCAATGGCCATGGTAACTAGTTTGAAAAAAAAAATGATGACTGGGTATTAGGCTGTCTGTTACTGCGCAGCACCTCTATGGCCCACTTAATATTTGTATTTATAACTCATTACAATTGTGACCAGGTGTGGACGTATCAGTGGCTCATTACTTTGTAATTTGTTCATGACTATAACCATGTATAGGAGTGAGGCTGATTCATTACCTCTGTAACTTAGCCATGATTGTGACCAGATCTACCTGGAGTTCATTACCTTTGTAACTAGTTCAGCTATCATAACTTTGGGGTCCAGTCCCTGGACCCATTATGTACCTTTGTAATCTTTTGACTACCGCCCACAGGATGGGTATGGGTGCATAATAAACATATTAAACTAAACTAACCTCTGGAGCGTTGTTCTACCAAGTATCGGCCCTAAAAGAAATTTTCTTTGCTACTTGGTGGAGCAATCTGGTGGTGGCCGCTAGGCTGCCCAGCGTGAAAAAATTATATTAGGTGATGACAAGTTGATGAGTAGAACACAAGTTGCACTTTTATACATTTATTGATGTAACTAAAGCTTTATCAGTGATGATTGTAATATTGAAGGCAGTAGAAGCTGAAAGATAATTCTCCGGTGGCCGGTCTCTAAATTTTGAAATTATTATAATCATGGGGGAGCGCTAAACCCGTAGGATTATACAACGCCTATGGGGGGAGGGGTTGGAAGGTATTCAGGGTCAATTCAGGGAACTGGAAAACAGATCGAATTCCCGAGATCAAGAGCCCCTCACCAGCGTCAAGGAACCTCCCTTGAGGGGCTGAGTCCTGAAAGATGATGTACATACGTCGTAGTCGTACGAGATTTACTACACATTGTGTGTAGATTCAAGTCTTGAGACTCTAGACATAATGTTCAAAACACTACGATGTACTCTCAGCCTCTTTATGTTAAATCACTAAAATCAGTCTAGTAACTTAATGGTTTCGATTTATTTTTTGGGGGCAGTATGTGGGTGAGGTTTGATTGGGATATAACCGGTTTTTGTGAACTGATTGGAGGGGAGGAGAGGTATACTTCGCCATTGTGGAGAGCTGATGAGGTCAAGCCAGTCTTTGGATACATGGCCGGTCATTTTTCAAGGGGTTGATAAGGATTTGGTTGATATTATTCTTTCAGCCTCATTAAAATATTTTATCTATTTTCATAATCCACAAGAATAAATATTCAGACTAGCTTCAGATCTTTAACTCTGAAATCTAACCGAATTAGGAACTTTGGCCCAAATCTTGACTATTCCTTTTACTTGCACTGACAGAGGTTGGACTAAAGATTATAATACCGAAAGTAAAAAGACAGCACAAAATGTGAATACCATAAGAGCAAGACTCCAAAGAGAAGGTTGCTGAGACTGCAAACACCATGTTTAGTGTTCCATGACAGCTTGACCATGGGTCTTCCACTTGACCTGCGAGGTTATCCCAGGTTCTGTACACATATGCTGCTTGTATGATAATCTATGTAACTGTATTTGTGTACACCTGAATAAACTTCCTTTCCCTGGTCAAGTGCTATCGTAAAACAATCTTTCCAGCTCTAGGTCCCGAGTCCCTCAGCATTCTCACAATATTTTCCCTTCGACATTGCCCATGTTACAGTCATACCTGAAAATGGTGTTTCAGTCCCAGTTATGGCAGACGAGGACCTTAATTACTCACCCCTTGTCCTCCCAGAGGTGCGGGAAATCTACATACTCGAGATATAACCGCTACTTCGTCTTGTGGTGAAGATGCCCTGGCTAACACTGGTACCTTCTTCACGTTCTGATGCCCACGAAGCTAAATTCCGACAACAGTCTCCACTGACAACAGATGTTCTTTGCACTATACTGGGGGAGATTTCGTGAAGTAGACAGACGTTAGAGGTGCAGAGTGGCAGTGCTTGCGTGTTGAAGTGATGTGTGGTTAAAAGAACCTATTGACCGAGCTTCGGTGTTTGTTGTCTCGTTAAGTGGCAACTGGGTACCATGGACACTTTTCGACCAATCACGACACGCTTCGTTTTCTCTAACGAAGATGGAAACGCTATTTTTTTTTTTTTTATCTTCTAAGGTGTTTATTTACAACCAGCGAAAGTCTTGCAACTAAGTCCAGATTTAGAATAAAATAAATAATGCACTGATCTGTTCTTGAGATATTTTTAAATATTTAATATTTAACGAAACCAAAATACAGTGAAAGAAATGAACCTTTTTGAAAAAAAGACTCGATCGAGTTTAAACTTCAGAAAATGTCAATAAACGCTACCAGCATTACTAAGCTTCTTCATTTTATCCATTTTTATGCCTATTTCCCTAGATATTTTTGACAATTCTAGCTTCTGCTTCTAGTTTTTTGAGCCAGTTTTTTTTATAAACAAGAGAAAGGCGGCCATTTAAGCTTAGATTCTATAGAGAGCATCTAAGCGTGTCGTCATATTTTAAGTCCCATATTAAGTATTTTTTCCTCATAAAATGGCATCAAAAACACACGCGTGGCAATTTTTGGAAGGAAAAACGAAATATATGTGCACCTAAGTTTGTGAAAGAAATGTGATTACAAAGGTCAAAAGATGTTTCTAATACCAGGCAGTGGTGGTGGTGGTGGTGGTGGTGGTGGTGGTGGCGGTGGTGGTGGTGGTGTGGGTGGTGGTGGTGGGTGGTGGTGGTGGTGGTGGGTGGGGTGGTGGGTGGTGGTGGTGGTGGTGGTGGTGGTGGTGGTAGCGGTGGTGGTGGTGGTGGTTGGTGGTGGGTGGTGGTGGTGGGTGGTGGTGGTGGTGGTGGTGGTGGTGGTGGTGGTTGGTGGTGTGGGTGGTGGTGGTGGTGGGTGGTGGTGGTGGTGGTGGTGGTGGTGTGGTGGTGTGGTGGTGGTGGTGGGTGGTGGTGGTGGTAGCGTGGTGGTGGTGGTGGTGGGGTGGTGGTGGGTGGTGGTGGTGGTGGTGGTGGTGGTGGTGGTGGTGGTGGTGGTGTGGGTGGTGGTGGGGTGGTGGTGGTGGTGGGGGTGGTGGTGGTGGTGGTGGTGGTGGTGGGTGGTGGTGGTGGGTGGGGTGGTGGGTGTGGTGGTGGGTGTGTGGTGGTGGGGGGTGGTGGTGGTGGGGTGGGTGGTGGTGGTGGTGGTGGTGGTGGTGGTGGGGTGGTGGTGGGGTGGTGGGTTTGGTGGTGGTGGTGGTGGTGGTGGTGGTGGTGGTGGTGGTGGGGTGGTGGTGGGTGGTGGTGGTGGTGTGGTGGTGGTGGGTGGTGGTGGTGGGTGGTGGTGTGGGGTGGTGGGTGGGGTGGTGGTGGTTGGTGTGGTGGTGGTGGGTGGGTGGTGGTGGGTGGTGGTGGTGGTGGTGGGGTGGTGGGTGGTAGCGGGGGTAGCGGTGGTGGTTGCTGTGGTTGTATCGATGCGTGTGGCGTGTTTGCTAGTGGTGATGGGCCGTTGCCAGGGTCCTCAACTCAAAACAAATGGGAGTCGTCACTGGCATCTCTGTTGCCACCCCGTCAAGATCACCACCACAGGCACCATCACCACCGTCAACGTCACTACGAAGCCCTCAACATCACCATCACTCCCTATACATCACCACGCCTTCAAACAGTACTACCTCCCCTCAAAGTACTACCAAGCCCTCAACATCAACTGTATTTGTGTCTTCTTTTTCATCAACTTTTTCATCAACGTCACCACTACCACCATCACCACCCTCTTAATTAACATCACCACAACCACCACCACCACCACCACCCCTTCAACATAAAAACTACCAGTCTCTCAACATTATTTCCCTCCCCTCACCACACCAACACTGCCACCCCTTCAATATTACCACCCCAAGCTCAACCAACGCTTCTTCAACAACGCCACACACACACACACACACACACACCACCATACTTTCCACACACACACACACACACACCACCATACTTTCCAACACACACACACACACACACACACACACACACCACCATACTTTCCACACACACACACCACCATACTTTCCACACACACACACCACCATACTTTCAATATCACAACCACAAATACCACCCCACCACCACTTGAGCATCACCATCACAATCGCCACTCTGAATATTAACACTTCTTTGATATTCCCACAGCAAGCATCACCACCAGCATCACTCCTTCAATAACACCACCACAAGCACCACGTTTAACACAATGACCTCTTTCTCGTTTCCCACGCCAGCACCATCATTCCTGCTTCCTCTCTGGTGGCTAACGCTCTCGCTTCACACGGCGAGGGCCTGGGTTCGATTCCCAGCCAGAGTAGAAACATTGGACGTGTTTCTTTCCACCTGTTGTCTATGTTCCCCATCAGTGAAATGGGTACCTGGGTGTTAGTCGACTGGTGTGGGTCGCATCCTGGGACACTGACCTAATTTGCCCGAAATGCGGAGCATAACAAGGGAGTTTCTGTATAGTAGTATGTCATTGATGTCAGCTAGGACTGTATACCTTGTACATGTACTTGTAGTAAATAAAGATATTATTATTATTATTATTATTATTATTATTATTACCACGCCAATACCACCATTAACACCAATGGTCCCTCCGGCACACAATGCCAACACTACTACTAACACCCCTGGGCTTTACGAAATCACTAACACCACCAACAACACTAGTCCCTCCACCACCACCACTGGTCCCACCACCACACCACTTGCCCTCTCCTATAAGGAACAAGGATTTTATTTCTCTGCATAGTTTACAATGTATATTTACAATTTTGATTTACTAAGTACAAAGAAAGCCACTATCATGCCGGGACTTCCTCCATCTCTTATGCTTTTAAATTTCTGAGACTTTCATGTCGGTGGCTGTCTGAAGACTGGTAATACAACACAAGCGGAAGACTACCTCCTGGTGTTTGGGTGCGGGTGATGCGCAGCAGCGGAACACTCGCATAGATCTACTCAGAAGGTACACGCATCACTAGACGATCCTTTAGTATATAATGGAAGCAAGTCTTAAAAACGGGGCTATGTTGCTGATAACCTCAGCAGCTGAAGCACCTTAAGCAAGGTAGTCACAATACCGTTGATGGAACAATTCGCTCCCCCCAAAAAACGCGTTTAGATTCACCAAAACACAGCTTCTTTAAGTTCGGAAATCGCGCCTTATATGCCGGAAAATACGGTATACACACCGAGAGACATTCATCTCTGAGTATATATCCGGTGTGCACTTGGATTAAGGTTACTTCAACCTTAATACAGGTTTAAAGAATACTACGTGTGGTTACGTAATGAGACATACTTCCGTACAAATGTACATGCACTTTTGCTCTCAGTACATACACATCAAGACTGATATACTCAACATACACGTATACAACGTGTGTGACCTATTGTGGTCAAGTTGATTGGCTGGATCTAAGGCCCATCAGCTACGTGAGGGTCACTAAGGCTGCTTGTAACTCCAGCCAAAAATAATTTAATCCATAAAACAGGCATTAAATTCAAGTGTATATACTTGCTTACAAGCTCAGTAAATTTTTATCCAATTTTACACTTAACGTGGATTAATCTGGAGAATAACAGATGCATGCACAACGGAAATATAACAGATAAATACTATTTGTAAAATTCGTTTGAGTTATACCTTAAACGTTTGTTTCACTATCAAAGAAAACGTAAAGGTAATTTTTATGAGTAACTATGATAAATATTTCCAAACACTTTAAAAGGCTTTGAAATTTTTTAGAATTATAAGTAAGGTTGTTTAGATGAATTCACAGGGAATCAATAAGCTCTTTGAGCTTATTGATTCCCTCTCCGATCGAGAGCCTCACACAGCATTAAAGAGCCCCCCTTAGCAGGGCCTCACAGGTGGCAATGCTTTCAATATTAAGATATTAAAAGGACATCAATGGAAATAAGTAACAGCTTGGCAAGGCTCCTGGAGAGCGAAACGTTGCCACAATAAAATGTCCAATTAGCTGCGTCCTTTTACCCAACATATTGTCAGTAATTCTACCAACATTATTAACAAATAATCACTTGGTCCTGTTTCCTGACAAACAATACCTACCTGAATAACCTCCGTGTACTGGTATACATAAGTACAATTATCATACCTAGTAACACATGCAAAATAACCACAGGGAGAGTTGAATTATAACTCTAGGCCTTTGAAGCTGCAATCAACACAGCATGAAGAGCTTGTAATGTTACAGAAATCAGTACGAAGTCCAGGTAGATTCGTTCGGAGGAATGACTCTCTCTCCAGGATAATTAAACCGTGCCCCCTGGCCTAGTGGATAAAGCTCCACCTTCACACAGCGAGTGTCTGGGTTCGATTCCCAGAGAGGGTAGAAACATTGGGCGTGTTTCTTTACACCAGTTGTCTATGTTCCCCATCAGTAAAAATGGGTACCTGGGTGTTAGTCGACCTAATTTGCCAGAAATGCTCTGCATAACAAGCAGCTTTCTATATACCAGGAGGCCAGGTCATGGACCTGGCCGCGGAGACGATGATCCCTGGAATGTCCTCCAGGTAGACTCCCCTTGTGGGTATTTTTTGCACTATATCACTCGTTCGCGATTATCACACACTAACATATATGTAAATTACCTACTAGGATAACCCCAGAAAAGTCAGGTCTTAAAGCAAAATAACGGTACGGGAGGAAACATTAGGACACCTGCTGTCTATGTTCATCTAGTAGTAAAATAGGTACCTGGGTGCTAGTGGACTGGTATGGGTCGCATATTGGGGACAAAACTGACCTAATTTACCCGAAATCCTCTGAATAACAAGGGACTTTCTAAATAGTCGTAGGTCACTGATGTCAGCTATGGTCTGTATACGTTGTACATGTACTCGTAGAAATAATAATAATAATAATAATAATAATAATAATAATAGTAATAATAATAATAATAATAATAATAATGATAATAGTAATATTATTATTATTATTATTATTATTATTATTATTATTATTATTAT